CGGGCTATTATAAATAGCACAGGAGTGAACACAGATGAGCAAGTATCTCTATAGTAAGATATAGAGTCTTTTGGGTATATGACCGAGAGTGATATAGCTGCATAGTATGTTAGACTGATTTTCAGCTTTTTGAGGATCGTCCAACACTGATCTTCGTAATGGTTGTACAATGAGTAAGCATCCCCTCTCCCCTCATCCTTGCCAGCATATTCTGTCTTTTTTTTTTTTTATTGGTCTTGGCCATTCTGACTGGGGTAAATGAAACCTCAAGGTAGTTTTAAATTTGTATTTCTTGGATGGCTAAGGATGTTGCACATTTCTTTAAGTGCTTCTCATCCATTTGTGTTTCTTCATTTGAGAACTTTCTGCTTAGTTCGGTGTTCCATTTTGACTGAGTTGTTTGTTTTCTTGATGCTCAACTTTTTTTTAGTACTTTGTATATTCTAGGTACTATACTTTTATCAGATGTATAGTTAATTGGAAAAGGTCTTTTCCTATCCTATAGGGTCTCACTTTGCCTGATGGTATCCTTTGCCATATGAAGGTTCTCAGCTTCATGAAGTCCCATTTATTGATTGTTGGGTTTTAACGTCTGTGTTATCTGTATCCTGTTCAGAAATTCTTTTCCTGTGCCCATGAGTTCAAGCCCATTCCTTAGTTCTTCTTTTTGTCAGATTCAAGGGTCCTGGTCTCCTGTTGATGTTCTGATCTGTTGAGTTTTGTAGAGGATGATAGATATGGACCTATTTATATTCTATATAAAGCTATTCAGTTTGGCCAAGACTATTTGTTAAAGACACTGTCTTTTCTCCAGTGTATCTGTTTGGCTTCTTTGTGAAAAATCGTGTGTCTATAAGTGTGTGGTATTATTTCTGAGTCTTCTTTTTAATTCAATTGATCAATATATATTTTTATGCCAACAGGCCAAGAGGAGATGTGAGGACAGAGATTGAATTAACTTCCTGTCTTGTGTTTCCTGTCTAGTTCTGGCAAGCCTGGAACTTCATATGTAGAGTCCAGTTAGGTGGCAGAATGCAGCCTAAGATGGGGGCCTCAACTCCAGATGAGAAATCACACAGGCTGAGGCTGAGGTTGGTATTCTCATACTCCTGGGCACCCAGTTGCTGCTGGGAACCATGAGGAGTTGAGGATGGGGAGGCCGGGGGGTGGGGCAGTGATGAGCTGGGGGAGGGCCCCTGGGGGGGGAGGGGGCCTCTGGCTTAGTCAGGGTGAGTGTCCCTGTAATGAAGGCTTCCCCCCACAGCAGTTCTTGATGAGAGAGACAGTCCTTATTCAAACTATTTATTCATAGTGGAAAATGGAGATATGCAACTTACTCAGGGTGGACCAGAGATTAAAAACCTTTTGCAGGAAAGAATGTCTGGGAAGGGAAGCTTATTGGCTAAACCCTCAGGGCCCATCTAGACACTTCGAGCATGGAGAACTCTATGTTCTGTGCATATATATATGACAAGGGGACATGATCCTCACGTGGGGTGTCATGGTCATGTGCTCCAGGCCAGGAACAGGGTTGGGAGTAGATGAAGTGCCTACCGTTCTCAGATATGAGAGTACTGGGGTTTCTGACTCTGCTCAAGCTTCCCAGCTTCTGTCTGGTGACATGGTTCCACTTGCTCCACAGAGAGAGTTGACTCTCACAAGTTGTTTTCAGTCTTCCACATGAATGGTGTTACATTCTCTCTCTCTCTCTCTCTCTCTCTCTCTCTCTCTCTCTCTCTCTCT